ACATAACTTCACCAGACACAGACACAGACACTAATCGTTACTTGATTTTAATCCGTGCGATTAGTTAACCAGGCTAGACCTGAGTTCTCACAAGAAACACCGACAATAATAATAATAATAAAACAGCGCCACAGGCTCACAAAATACTGCAATATCTCCACCAAAAACCCAAGCAACCACACAAATACAGCCTCAAGAACAAAGAAATACCATAAATACAAGTAACGCAACATGCACTATAAAGACAGGTCCACCCAATAAAGTTACACGTCCTAGCACAGTTAAAAAACACAAAACTCCTTCTTCACATAAACACACCACGTTATCACAACCCACTCGTATTCAACCGAAACGCGAAAACCTTAACAGAACTACACGCTCACAACATACTGTAATATCTGCACCAAAAACCCAAGCAACCACACAAATACAACCTCAAGAACAAAGAAACAACATAAATACAAGTAACGCAACATGCACTACAAAGACAGGTCCACCCAATAAAGTTACACGCCCTAGCACACTAAAAAAACACATAACTCCTTCTTCACAGAAACACACCACATTGTCACAACCCACTCGTATACAACCGAAGCGCAAAAACCTTAACAGCACCACAGGCTCACAAAATACTGCAATATCTCCACCAAAAACCCAAACAACCTCACAAATACGACCTCAGGAACAAAGAAACACCATAAATACAAATAAAAAACACAAAACTCCTTCTTCACAGAAACACACCACGTTATCACAACCCACTCGTATTCAACCCAAACGCAAAGCCAAAGAAACACTTACACAATAAACTCTATTTAATAAAATTACAGGAATTATTATAATATTTTTGTTTTGTTTTCTTCTTTCCTGATAGCGTTGACTATTGGGGCCATTAATAGCTATGTTGGTAAGTATGAATTACATACTATCTCTAGATTTCCAATGTGAGTGTGTGAATATTTATTTTATTTTTATTTTTCTTTAGAACCCTACATAACTTCACCAGACACAGACACTAATCGTTACTTGATTTTAATCCGTGCGATTAGTTAACCAGGCTAGACCTGAGTTCTCACAAGAAACACCGACAATAATAATAATAATACCTATATAAAACCTATACAGCACTACTAGCTCACAAAATACTGTAATATCTCCATCAATAACCCAAGCAACCTCACAAATACAACCTCAAGAACAAAGAAACACCATAAATACAAGTAACGCAACATGTACTACAAAGACAGGTCCATCCAATAAAGTTACACGCCCTAGCACAGTTAAAAAACACAATACTTCTACTTCTCAGAAACAACCCACTCGTATACAACCGAAGCTCAAAAACCTTAACAGCATCACAGGCTCACAAAATACTGCAATATCTCCACCAAAAACCCAAGCAACCTCACAAATACGACCTCAGGAACAAAGAAACACCATAAATACAATTAAAAAATACAAAACTCCTTCTTCACAGAAGCACACCACGTTATCACAACCCACTCGTATTCAACCCAAACGCAAAGCCAAAGAAACACTTACACAATAAACTCCATTTAATAAAATTACAGGAATTATAATAATGATTTTTTTTGTTTTGTTTTGTTTTCCTCTTTCCTGATAGCGTTGGCGTTGGTAAGTACGAATTACATACTATCCCTAGATGTCCAATAACCCTACATAACTTCACTAGACACAGACACAGACAATAATCGTTACTTGATTTTAATCCGTGCGATTAGTTAACCAGGCTAGACCTGAGTTCTCACAAGAAACACCGACCATAATAATAATAATGTCTTTATTGATTAGCAGTTCTACATTTGCAATAAGTACTGCATATATCAATTAGGTGAAAGTTCAGATTTTTTAGGTAAAACCTAATCTGATATTCTACTTTAACCTTAATAACTTTATGAAAGCATCCAGTTAGGTACAGACAGAAAGAACAACAAAGAACAAAAAAAAAGATGAACGATTGAAAAGAGAAAAAATAGAAAAAGAAAGGGAACAAGCTAAATTATTGTACGTTTTGTATAGTAAACAAGTATTGTTTATATTTGCACTTAAACATTTTTTGGTTTAACTTCACAATAAAAAATATATATATCTCAAGATATCGAGATGCTGTTTTCGCGAGTTTATTTAGGCATCATTTAGCTACTTTTTCATGAAAAAAAATTCGAACCAATGCATTTAATTTTTTTAAGAAAATTAACCATTTCTGTCGGAATGTCGAACAAAGCGCTCAAGCGGTGATATGTGAAACTAACAAAACTTCAAATAGTATAATATTTGTAGCTGAAGAATAGCTCTTTTGAACTAACCCGAGTTTGTTTAAATCGGATCAGGCGTTTCGAAGATACAGGGTGTTATTTACGGAAACCTTTGAATACCCCCCACCACTTCATTTTTAGAGATACAGGAAAAATTGTCAAACAAAAATTGTTCAGATTATCGTCAACTTCAAAGACCGGACATTTTTTTGTTAGGTTAATATAGCGGAATTCATAGAAACATCACTTTTTTAGATTCCAGTAAAGTCACTAGATATAGAAAGTACCGCAATCATCCGCCATTTTTGGGCAAATTTGCTGCCAACTTAAAAAATTGACAAATAAAATCTGAATAGCTGTCATTTTTTATAACCTAACTTCATAGTACTGTCATGTTTTATAAAAATATATACAGATATCTCCAAACAGGTGGAACAATCCCTAACATTAAAGTTACTAGAATCTGGAAACTTCCGCCATTTTTGGGCAAAAATCATGCGTTCTCTCTCTAACACACGAGCCCAATGGATTGCGGTACTTTCTATATTTAGTGACTTTAGATTCCAGATTGCAGTTACGCCCCCTAGCGGTCATTTCAGAAACTTAAAAATATTTTCCAGGTTTTGCTCTTGGCCGTTTTAGTAATAAATTTTTTACCGCAAGCCTCTACGATGGATAGATTCTCAGATACTCACATTCTTAGTTGGCCACCCTGTACAGATGGTCCTTCGGAAGCGTTAAGAACTGCCCCTGACACGTTTCTCCCTTTATTAACGAGCTCATTTATAAAAGTAAATGAAATTTGATACATAATCACTTGGAATAAAACCAAATTTAACGCCAGTGTCCAAATTTCGTTTTGCGCATGCGCAGTGCCATCTTTCTTATTTATGGAGGCATTTAAATGAAATTTCATACATATACACCTTAAATAAAAGCAAAACTAAGATCAGGTTTAAAATTTGGTTTTGTCCATGCTATAGCCATACCCAGGAGCTCGTTTTCTATATATGTTTAGTTTATTTTATATCAAACGTAAATTCAACACCTTGTATAAAGTGTGTGGCCGGGTCCCCTAGAGATCTTGCACTCATTTTTTAAAATGTTGTTTTTTTGCGTAGCATCCCACGATATATAAACAAATCGAACAAACCGATCAACGGGGCGGTATGCCTTACACGAAATTTCTGTGCAAAACTCCTCCGGGCGAAATCAATCCGCTCGCGGAAAATGAGGAGTTGAAGACTGCGCGCCTGCAAGCGGCCCGAGCGCGCCTGAACGAGTACTCAACGCCAGCCAGTCCCAGTCCGCCTAGGGACGTTTCGATTATCACGCCCCCCGTTGTTATACCAACCGAAAAGGTTCCACGGTAAGTCCATTCCGGCAGATGGTCACATGCTAATAATAAAGCGGTGCCTATTTTCAGAAAGCCGAACCCGGACGATTTCATGATCAAATCATGGGACCACACCTTCGAGAAGCGTTCCTCCCATTCCAACTCTGAGCATTACAAAACCGATAAGCCCGACATATACAGGAGGGCCGCGGAGAGTCTGACGGCCAATCTAAACAAAAAACCCGTCTTTGAAAGGCTCGGCACTCGCGTTGATATGAGCGTACCGCCTCTGTCGGCCGAGGACCTAATGCAACTCACCGAATCCGACAGCGTGACTGTGACCGATTTGGAGCACGTCCGTGACGACCTGAAGAAGAAGCTTAGCCAGGAGGAAGGCAAATGTCATATACCAGATTTGCGAATGAAATTGACGAGGGATCGCCAAAAGGAGCACAACAAAAGTCAGAGCTCGTCAAAACCGCGGACCGAGAAGGTCTTCAAGGATCCCGACAGTAAATTTGGCAGTCTCCTCTCCAGCATTGACGACCAGATTTTGGAAAAGAAAGACACTAGCAAAAAGGACGAGAAGCGGTCGCGAAGTGATAAAGACAGAGAACGGGATAAACACAAGCACAAAAGCAAAAAGCGGGATCGGTCCAAGGAGCGACGTCGGTCGAAGGATCGGAAGCATCACGACAAGGATAGAGATAAGGACAAAGACAAGCCGAAGGACAAGAAGGAAGAGAGCAGTAAAAAGGAGACTGTTAAGAAGGAGAGCGAAAAGAAAGACACGGTGAAAGAGAAAATCGTCGAAAAGGTGAAGGTGGAGGTACCCGAGAAGCCGGTGTTCAAACGCTTAGCCGACAAGTACAATCCGCGCCCCAGGAAGAATAGCATCGAGGTGGTGGAGCGGCCTCCCGAAATCCCGATCAAGGAAGCCGTGCCCAGTGTTAACAAAGATGCGATACTGTCAACGGTGAAAAGTAACCTGTTGCGTAGTATCGACGAAACTCTACTGTGCAACGTTAAAGAGGTACTGCTCTCGAACAAGGATACGCTAACGAGAAACCCAATCGCGAGTCCGGTCGACAAGTTAACCGCCACCATGAAGGAAATCAAGTCGGATAATGATCAGTACTTGACCAGCATTAGAGATACATATTGTCCCCCGAAACCGATTAAAGATATTGTTGGGTCGACCAATCAGATTGAGAAATTTGCCGGTACTGTTGCTAAAGAAGCCAAAAAAGACAACGAGCAATATTTAACCACCATTAAGGATACATATTATCCTCCTAAACCGGTTAACGAAATGTGGAGCCCTTCCTATGGAATGATGCCACAAACCACCATGGAATTCATACCTCCGGTTACCACAAAACGAGCGGGTAACACTTACCTGAACACCTTTATAGTTCACAATAACGTAAGCTCTCACGGCCAGTACACTCAACCGAGCAGCTCATTTCCTCCTAAACCGTTTCATCCGTACGATCCGCTTCCGAGTCCAAATCACTACGAGTCGAATCAACAGCAATTAGACTACTACTCTCATAACCAACGGCCAAACTACCAAAACCGCCCTTATCAACAGCAGTACTCGCGCGATCGCCAACTCACCGACGTGTGGAGCAGCGATCGGCAGCAACCCGACAATTGGAACAACTCGGATAACACGTGGAACCAACAGTCCGACGCAACTTGGACCCAAGATCGGCAACCTTCGGAAAACGCGTGGAGCCAAGAGCCGCGCCAACATTCGGATAACTGGAACCTGGATCCGAGGACCGCCGCTCGTCCCTCGACGTTTAATAGAGATCCCCGCATACGACAGCGAGAGGAAAAGGAGTCGACGCAGAAGATGGTGTTCGTGCCGCCGCCGTCGCAAACGAAGCGGCGCTCCGTCGACGATTACCCCACGTACGGTCAATCGAGGTACGACATGATGTACAACCAAGACCGGATCAAGAACGAGGAAACCTTCACCTCTCCGCTGAACAGCCTGTATACCACCGGCAATGACAGTCAACGCACAGGCAAAGGGTACGGGGTACAGAAGTTCCGCATACCGAAAAAGAAAATGGAAACCGAGGAGCCGAAGACCGAGGAGTGTCCGAAACCCGCCGACGAAGATAACGTCGACGAGTGCGTGCCCAACGACCGAGACATCGACGAGCCCACCGACGTGACACAAGAGGAACAAAGTGAGGCGATACCGGAAACCGTCGCTCCAAAGGAACCGGTCGAAGAAAAGGAACCGGAACCCGCAAAGGCCTCGGTTGCTGAACAGGCGATGTTAACGAACTTTTTTTCCGACTTTGTAAAAAATCCCAATAGCAAGACCATTCTAAACGCCATCCTATGCTCAATGGCGGACAACACGGGCGACAAGAGCAAGTACAAGCAGATCCTGGCGATCATGAACTCCGATGGGAACGAAGAGGAGGAGAAATCGCAGGCGGAAACTGACGACAAAGATAAACTGTCGGAGATTACCGAGCCGGTGACCGAGCAGGCGGAGGTGGTGCCGAAGCAAACGGGAAAGAAGACGGGCTATCGCAATAGAAGAAAAAAGCAAATCGCCAAAAAGGTGAGGCTGAGGAAATCTCGCCGCAACAAGCTAAAGGCGGCGAAAAAAGCGGCGCTCGCCAAAGCCGCCATTACTAAGCAATCGGACACCGTTATCGAGACCGTCGGCGAACGCATTAAGAACCGGAAGCGCAACATACCCGCGCCCGATCCACCCAAAGTCCGCTGTACCGAGCTGGATCGCCTACACAACGACATTAAAGAAATGTTCATATGCGATGGCGTATTGACGGCGACCGGTAAGCGAATGTGCCGCATTTTAAAATCCGACTCGTCGAGCGACAAGGAATCGCCCGACCTGTCCAAGTCGAAAGAAGACGACGCCACGGTCTTAGACTCCCCGAAACGCAGAGCTCGCGCCTCCAATCCCAAGGTGCTAATCGAGAAGACCGACCTCTCTAAGCTAGTCTCGACGAAGGCGAGCTCCGATTCCGACTCGGAACCCGAGTCGCCGGTCACGAGACGAGCCTCCAGACGTCGCCTCCTCGACCTGGACAGCACACCGGAACCGGTCCCTCCCAAACCGGTCTCGGCGCGCGCACTGCTCAAGCGCACATCTAAAATAAAGCCAAACTACACCGAGCCATCCGAGGACGACATCCAGCTGCCGAAATCGCCAAAGCCAGTCGAGAAAAAAGAGGTCGTCGAAGAGAAGGAACCGGCTCCGGAAAAATCGGTCGAGAAAAAGGGCATCAAGAAGAAGAGGCGAGGCCACAACTGGGCGGTCGGCGTGATCAACAAAAGGATCGTGAAGAAAAAGGCGTCGGTCGAGGAACCGGAGACGGTGGCGGCGGAGGTACCGGAACCGCCGGCCAAGGAGGAGAAACCCAAGACCAACGAGCACGACACCAGTTATTACGTCGACTCAGCGGAGAAGAGCGACTGTCGATTGTGCCCGTTCAAGGGCAAGTTCATCGTTCACCACTACCGAACCGTTCATCCTCAGCACGAGGTTTTGATCTCGAGAGTGTCGCCCGAGAACGGGCAGAAAGCGATCGAAGAGTCGACCGAGAACAATTACGAGGAAGTCGAGCCGGTGCATATTTTCGAGGCGAAAAATCGCAAGAAGAGGTTCACGTACCAATGCAGGTTAGTGGATCACTTTGATTTAATCTAAACATACCATGGGTAGAAGGGGGGTGGGTTGATCATTGATTGGGCAAAACATAAAGCTTGCTCGGGTCAGCAATAATGCGCACGTGTTAAAAAATGATCGCGCATGCGCAGACTCAACTTCCTTAGTTACGGACGGATATTTCTGAAACTTGAAGGATGCGCATGCGCGAACTTATATTTCTTATTTGCGACCCAATTCTTCTGAAATTTGAAGATGCTTCTTGTAAAAGCAAATTGAAATTAGAGATCGAATCGAGCTGACCCTAGCGCAGCTTTCTCAGAAAACTCGACTCTGCTTGAAATTATGGATGTTCAGCTCAGACTCGAAACTCCGAAATAAGCTTGGATTCAAAACAATGGATTTTAAAATATTAATTAACTCGTTCTTTAGAAGTTTTTAAACTTGCAGATGAAATAGAAACTTGAAAATTGGGTCACATAAGCGATTGTTGCGAATTGAAATAAAATAACTTTAGATGGCGCCGCTTCTGTAAATACTGGAAGTTGGCGCCATTTTGGTTTTTTAAATAGAAACATTTTCTTTAAAAAAAGGTAATAACTCAAAAACTACAGAATGTAATTAAAAGTGGCCCTAAAGTTCAAATCTACATTCGTTTCTGGCGTCAGAAATAGTAGCAATTAGAAAATATGAAGTTTTTGACATTTTTTGATTCCTAATTTTGAAAAATCGCGGTAGCCCTGGAAACTTTTTCAGCGGTCATTCCAAAAGTTCCTTAGACTTTAAGGATTTGTTATAAACAACAGCACTCACGTATCTTGAACAGTTTAAGAGATGAATTTTTGAATGGACCCTTGCATCTCCAAATTTTTAGAGAAAAATTGACATATGCCAAAAACTAGGTACGCAAAATGGCGCATTTAGAAAAAATAGAAAATGGTATGTTTCTATTTAAAAAAAACCAACCAACTTCTGGTATTTACTAAAGTCACTAAATATAGAAAGTACCGCAATCCATTGGGCTCGTGTGTTGGAGAGAGAACGCATGATTTTTGCCCAAAAATGGCGGAAGTTACCAGATTCTAGTAACTTTAATGTTAGGGATTGTTCCACCTGTTTGGAGATATCTGTATGTATTTTTCAATGAAGAAAGAATACCAGGAAGGAGAACATCAACAATTTACGTGAGACCACGATGGCTTTTGCAAATGGCGGGCAGTAGTTTCCTGTTCCAGTGGCGTACCTACCTTACCGTTGTAGAAGGATACAGTTGTAAACTCCGCCTATGACTTTTGTTTAACTAACCTCAAAGTACATTCCGATAAAAAATTTGTAAATTTACATGTACTATATAAAAATAATATTGGTATCAATACTTACACATGAAATGTAATTCCCAAACTTTTATTTTTTTCCATTTTGGAGCAACCACAAGCACAACAACTAACCATTATTTTATGTCACTTCAAAAGCCACAACAAAAATGAGTCATAAGTGGCTTTTGCAAATGGCCGACTTTCATCCCACTCTCTTGTATACAACCTGAGTAATGCTCCTTCCTGGTATTCTTTATTCATTGGTATTTTTATAAAACATGACAGTACTATGAAGTTAGGTTATAAAAAATTGCAGCTATTCAGATTTTATTTGTCAATTTTTTTAAGTTGCCAGCAAATTTGCCCAAGAATGGCAGATGATTGCGGTACTTTCTATATCTACTGACTTTAGTATTTACGGAAGCGGCGCCATCTTGAAATTATTTTATTTCAATTCACAATAGTCAACTATGGCTGTGAACCAAATTTCAAGTTTCTATGTTAACTGTAAGTTTAAAAACTTCTAACTAACTAGGCTACGTGAATCACCCTGTATATAGATATGTGTAAACCTAAACAATGAAACCTCTGTTTAAAAAATAAAATTTTTTTTTGTACTGCAAAAGTGAGGCATCAGGTGCCTTTAAAAAAGAAAATTGTTTGCAACCCAAAAATTACGAGGAACATGGGGCTCCTGACTGAGTCTTTTTTTGTTTTGTTTCCGTAGCACCAATCCGGCCATTTAGAGTCTGAATAGATTTAGTCGATCTGCTCGACAAGCTCGAAACTGGAGTCTCGTGAAAATTTTAGTACTAATTTAATTTGTCTAACCAACAGAATCGAACGGTAGACGCCATTTTTCAAAATTTCCGACACCGATTTTATTTTGTATGTATTACTGTATAAAAATGACGAACAGTAAATGACAAGTAAACAAAAGGGCTGACTGCCCGAAAATTTAGCGTAAAAAATACACACACACGTCTTCAAACCTGGTGACACAGCAGCCTCGTTTTTTCGTTCATTTCAGTATTTTAAAGAACCACCACACCATAATCTCCTTTAACAAAATTTCAGAAACCTCGCCAATCAGATAATCCGAAGAACGCGTTAAAAACGTCCTCACTTATAACGACACAATTGTTCAGCACCAGATGTGCATTTTTTTATAAATTAATTCACTTTTGCCAGATAAACAGTCCCAAACGATTAAATAAAAACCTTTTTTTCACTACTAGCGTCTGATGACATAATTATTAACCTTTTTTCCACTTGTAAAGTAGGCTTTCTCGGCAGTTGTTCAAAGTGGTTAATAATGTGGACATTATTAACTAGTAGTCAATAATGAGAACTGTCACGCTGTCACTTTTAGAAAACACAACCCCAAATTTCGCTCAATAAACGTTTAGACAAGTTCTCTAAAATGAATAATTACCACCATCCCCGCCATTTCCAGAGAAATTACATACCTAAAATTATCACATTTTGAAAAAAATCGAACGAAATTACTATTTGAAAATATCTCAATGACAGAACAAAATACGGCCTGTTTGACTTGTACTTCCGCGCACTTGATTGACATGTTAAATTAATAAACAAAAAATTCTGTCCAACCGTTCATTTTCTTATCAATATAATATGTTAATTTAGAGGATTTCAAGTGCTAGTAGTGAAAAAAATAGTATATACAGGGTGATTCCTATAGTACCTGCCACCGTTTAGGAGCGTATAGGGGGTGTCTAGGGGAGTATTTTGATATAGGACACTTGGGGTCGGAAATCTAAAATAAGGGCGCCAGAACCAAATTTATCTTCTGGAATTTCACGCCTGTATGTAGGCAACCCAACCGACCGACGTTTCGCGAGGAGCGATGCAGAGCGAGTTAGCGCGAGGAAGCGACAAGGGAGGGAAGGAGGGAAAACGACAGTCAAAAGCAATAACGTTTACAAGTGTTCAACGTGGCCACCGTTGTTCTCAATGCACTTCCTACATCTAGCCAACTAATTATTATACTATTGCCATAGTGTTTATTCACTTGATACGCGTCGTTGCAGACGGGATTTCGTGGGTTTAAACAAAATTCTGATCAAGTGTCAGCCACACATCGCCGCCTGAGATCGCTCCGTGTGCACCGCCGGCCGGTTGGGTTGCCTACCTACAGGCGCGAAATTCCAGAAGGTAAATTTGGCTCTGGCACCCTTATTTTAGATTTCCGACCCCAAGTGTCCTATATCAAAATACTCCCCTACGCACCACCTACACGCTCCCAAACGGTGGCAGGTACTATAGGAATCACCCTGTATACCACGGTAGAGAAGTCTATTATTGTCTTCGCACATTACACCCCTCGGCGCAAGCGCCTCGAGATGTAATCTTGGTGCTCAGGCAATAATACTGGACTTCTCTACCTTGATATATAATGTACTATTATGAAGTACGCAAACTTGACCGGATGTGTCTTAGTTAGCAACTTCTAAATTGAACAATTTAAAAGCGAAACGAAAATTAGAAACAATTCTAAAAGGACAAAGAGACACTGAAATGCAAATTCAAACAAAACGAACCGACCATGTGCTTATTTCGTAAATATTTTACTTAATAAATTGAAATATTCTCACTCATATACAGGATGTCACGTCATTATTTTGAGTGGTTAGGTCTTTGTTTTTTAAAAAATTAACGACTACTGAAAATTGTTGTCAGTCAATCTTTGGAAATAAACATTTTTCATAACTAATGACTCATTTACCTGTGCAAAAAGAGCTTAATTTTCTTATAACTTCTACATATATGTATTTAATTTCATTTATCCAAAAAAAGATAAAAAAGTTTATGAACATTTAAAAACGAAATTTAACAAAGTTGAATATCGAAGATCAAGAAACACCGCGAAATGCGATAATTTTGATTTTGATCCCAAAGATTGTCAAAAAACATTTTTATTTGCGATTTTACGATGAAAAATCGCGCAAACATTTTTTGACCCCCGAAAACAGCAAAATAATTAAATTTGATACTTCAAAATTGTAGGGTCTGAGATTTTTGAATCTTCGTATTAAATTTCTTTTTTTTCGTCCAACTTTGAGGGTCAAACATGATTTTTTTTCCCCTCAATTTTCGGAGGTAAGACTTTTTAAGGAAAACCATTCAGTATCAAATTTTTGAACATTTTTCTGTCAAAATTTTCTTCAAATCAAGTGCCAGGTAACAGATTTTTCTTTCTGTCAAATTCCGTTTTTTTTTCGACTAACTTTCGGGATCAAATTTCATTTTTCGCTGAACTTTGGGCCAACTAATAAAAATTCGTAAAACCGTATTTAGTCGCATTGATACAATAGAAACATTTTAAATGGGTAAAATTTTGAAAATTTTTGGAATACAAAGTTGCTCTTTGTACCGTACGAGGGGGCTTCGATAACAAAGAATTTAATTGTAAGTGGACTGTAATTATGAATTACTTCCAAGGCCTCGTTTATGCTGGGAATGAAATAATATAGACACAAAAATAAACGTGTTTATTATAAAAAATACAAAGTAAATGAATTTCTATTGAATATGGTTGACGTAGGCACGACGCGCTACTAGAAAATGGCAAAGTTACGAAAGGATAATGTAAACAAAGGAACTTACGTGATGTTTCGATGTCCATTAACAACGAAGGCGATATTGCAATGACGAAGATTGCTCTTTTCTATGATTTTGTCAATTTTGTTACAACGAAATCTTCATGATGTGCGGTGTTGACGTTTTGCTTCTTAACAATAACGATGTTGCGAACTGCACGGCGACATCTTGATTTGTTGTGGATCGATCAAGATCTACAGACAAGGCAAAACGGTTATGTACAGGGTATTTTTATTAAAGGAAAAACGAAAGGATATTTTATTCTAGTTTTGGGACGCAACGCCCTTATTTTATGTACAGGGTGTCCCATTTTTGACACTTTTATAGGATACCTCCGCGATTATTAGTGCTATCAGAAAAGTAATATGCGCACCATCTGCTCTTTTTGGTCCAAACTTAAAATGGTAAAGTCAAAAATTCGCCCGGGGAAAATCACAAAATCGACCAATATTTACTTAGTTCAAAGCAAAACGTTTATTACAAGTTTCTTTAAAATGATTGTTGAATAATCTGCCAAAATAAGTATACGGGGCCAGATAAAAAGTAATCAGACCTAACCTCATTTTTGTAAATGGCATACTCTAAATATTTTAATCAAGAAGATGATATATTATTATTTTCTTTTTTTTTAAATATAAGTATTACACCAGGTATATATTCAAAAGATTAAATTAGATTTTTTAATTTTTAAAAAAATCTTTTGTTCAATGAATATTCAATTTTTTGAATTTTTTAGGTGTGCTATCTAGATTAAAATATACGGGGTGGGTCATTTACAAAAATGGGGTGAGGTCCGATAACTTTTTTACATAATTGTATACTTATTTCGGAAACAGCAAATTTTTCAACAATCATAAAGAGTCTTTGGGGGGGGGGGGGGGGGGGCAATACAAGTTTATTAATATTTTTATTTTTTTTTACCTAACAAATGCAATTTTTTGTTGAGATTCTTTGTGTACAGTGTCATTCTAAAAAGTGAGCAATGAGAAGATTCCGATTCGGGGAGCAAAAACAGCATATGAGCAAAGATCGGTACCTTCACATCAAAAAATACTCTTTAAAAACGCGTTTCGAATTCTTTTATGATATCGTCATTGTTCATTGTGGGGATGGCGCAATTTATCACGACTGTATCGGTACCTAAGTAGTCATTTCTGTTGTAGATTTTGTCAGGCCGTCTACAAAAATGAGCACGCCGAGACGTTCTTCGATCACCTTACCAGCCACACCGGCGAGTACAGGTTTCACTGCGGCATGTGCAATTTCAAGACGTCGAACGGGCGAGCGCTGCGATCGCACAAGTACTCGGCGCACCAGGCGTGCACCGAACCGCCCGGACCGAAACCGCCCGTCTATCCCCCTCCGCCGAATTTCTCCCTGGTATTCGGTTACCTGTGCGAAACGTGCAATTTCGTACAGATGGACAAGTCGGCGATGGAGACGCACGTCGAGAACCATCACCAGGGCGCGAACATTTTCAAGGTGAACATGTCGACAGTGATCAGCAATCCGGTTAAGGAGAGCGCGCCGGAAGTCGAAGAATCGGCCCCGATCGAGAACGCGCCCGAGCCGGAAAGCGAAAAGGTGCCCGAAACGGTCGTAGAACAACCGCCTGAGCCCGTCGAGCCCGAGAAACTCGTCGAAAAGCCTAAAGAAGAGGATCCGACAGTTTTCAAGAGCAATCCCGACGATTCCACCGAGAACCTGATGGAGGAGCAGAAGCACGAGAAGATGCTCGAGATCAGCCAGGCCGTTATTCCGAAGAAAAAATTATCGTTTGACCTTTTAGATCGGATTAAAAGCCGACTGGACAGTAAAACCGCCGAGGAAAATGAGACCGAAGTTGAAACTGCGACCCAAATGGAGGAGGAGGAGGAGGCCATTGTTTCCCCTCAACGAACGTTATCGCCTCTTAGCTCGATTAAAACCGATTCAACCTTTAACGAGGATCCCCAGCCGATTGCGAACGTAATCGGGAAAATGGCGGTCGACTCACAACCGCCGCCTCTAATACCGATCAACGAATTCCCCATTGCGCTTAAAGCCGAGGAGATCGGGGTGCAAGTGGGTCCGATTCTCGCGCGTAAGAAGCAAGACTACATCTTGTACATGTGCTACGTGCAGTCGTGTATGTTCTCGTCAACGAACGGGGAGGAATTCGAGATTCATTGCAAAACCTTCCACCATAACAAACAGTGGGACGGCGTGTGTAATTTGTGCGATCTGCAAACCGGCCAGAGCGAGATAGAAGACGCGTATAATCATCTGGTATCCACCCACGGCAGCGAGCTCGGAATCGAGAGGAAACCGGATATGGAAGTTAAATCGACTTATCTCCGAATGCGACGCCTGAGCGGCGACATGCTGTCGGAGCAGAAACCGCTCGTGACCTTATCCGAGGAGACTCCATTCAAAATCGTCGACGTACAGACGCAGCAAGAAGAAAGCGAAGACGAAAGTTTCAGTTTCCCATTCCAAATTGCGAACGTGACGACCCTCACGCCCGAAGAGGACCAGGCGCTAAACTCGCCCGCCCCAATTTCGATTGTAACGCAATCGCTCGTGACGCCCCCGCTGTCGACGCTGACGGTGATCGCCGCTTCGGGAAGCTCCACTAATGTAACGTCGTCGACAGCGCTTCCGTCTTATAATATATTGGTTCCGTACATACCGCCGCTTGTTACCACGTCTTCTCCCAAGAAACGTAAGTATTATTTTCACAAACGGCCCAAACGACTTTTTGGCGGTTTTGGGAAAAGTCGGCGGCAGGGTAAATTTTGAACTGAACAAAATGAAATCTAGCATGCCGTGTGATGTGAGGATGCGCGGTGTGTGTTATTTTACATGGGGAGGTCGTATCGCGCAAAAGTAAATCTTCAAAATGGAACATTGTACAGGGTGAGTCAACGATTGCGCGGAGTAACTTAATGCCTTGAAGATAAGATTTTTCGATAGAGTGCTTTTGTATTATGATATGGTTGAATATTCTCCACATTTTAAAAATATTTGTAATAATAATAATAATAATAATAATTTATTGCCCTACAGATTACAAAATCCAATTACAGGACAATTTAATCAAAATTAAAGTGGTGTACAAAATTGTTAGAAGTAAATGACATAAAATATCAAAGATACACGTAAGAAAAAAACAAGAAAAATTATACAATAATAATAATACTAATGGAAATTACTAAATAACATTCTAAGCAAAATCAAATACCAATTTCTGCTAGGACGTCGCATAGAGGACTATGATGAATATCAATATGTTTCGATAAACTATTAAAACTTCTAATGGTATGGTATAAAGGCGATTTAATTAACATATTAGTATGGGGAGTAGATTGATAAAAAGTTACAATATTTCTCGAAGAACGAGATGGTACATGAAAGTTTATAAGTGAAAGTAAATAAGGACAATCAATTAAATTATGTAATAAATTGTACAAAAAAGAGATACAAATTTCACAACGTCTGCGTTCTAGGGATTTAAGGAAAAAACGTGAAAGCAAACGTTGTTGGCTATAACCTCGTGGGGGATACTGATGATCAATTCTATAAACTAATGATTTTAAGAATTTGCGTTGTACATATTCAAGCTTATCTTTCTGGTATTTTACAATGGGATTCCACACTATAGCACAATATTCCAGTCTCGAGCGAACTAAAGAATAGTATAAGGTCTTCAACGTTGTAATATTGGTGAAAGATTTACAATTTCTTAAAATAAAACCAAGGGTCGAGATGGCTTGTTTAGCGGTATTATCAATGTGTTTTGAAAATGTAAGACCAGCATCGAAGGTTACACCTAAATCCTTAATACTATTTGTTTTAACCAGTGTAGCAGTATTAATGTTGTATTCAAAGTCAATGGGCGTGACCCTACGGGAGTAGGTGACTACTGTACATTTATTGATGTTTAATGGTAACCTATTTAAATCACACCACTCACTAAGAATGTCCAGTTGACGTTGAAGGTGCACACAGTCGTGTATAGTTGCAATAGTAGAAAAGATTTTAAAATCGTCAGCAAACAGTAAACTACCACAATTAGTAATTTTTTCCGGCAAATCATTAATAAAAATTAAAAATAAGAGAGGTCCCAAATTGGACCCCTGAGGTACTCCAGTTATATAAGACGAAACGAAATTGTTATAAGTTATCTGTTGGTATCGATTTTGCAAATAGCTCTTAACCAGAAGTTGTAAAGAAACATCAAAACCAAAGTCATCTAATTTTGCTAAGATAATGTCATGAGCAATTGAATCAAAAGCCTTGGCAAAATCAGTGTAGATACAATCTACCTGCCCACGATTGTCAAGTACAGTCTCTATAAATTGGGTAATGCAGGTCAGGTTAGTGGCCGTGGATCTGTGCTTTATGAACCCATGTTGAGCTGGAGAGATAAATCTTATCACAGATGGATAAATTCTACCGTATAACACTTTCTCATACACCTTGGCGAAGGTATTTGAAGATGCTTTATAATTCATTACATCACTGGGATCGCCACTTTTCAATATAGGGCAAATATTAGGCAAACTTCCAGATAGAAGGAAATTGTTGCTATTAAGCGATGCATTGAATATATACACAACGAGGTTCCGAAAACCCCTACCACAGTTTCTCTAAATTAACAATAAGCCGGAATATGGTCACAACCCAGCTGTGAGACGTGTCAACTTCTAAACTTCTTATAGCCGTTATACTTCATTTCATTTGGTGATATTCCTATAACCGTTTAATATTAGGGTACATATATATGATTTGTTATAAGTTTCTGGGTACATCTGAGGGGCTTATAGCGCTTATAAACACTCACTGAACTATTCGGCAAAAAATGTTTACAATCGTTGTGATCCGTAACTTCATTGTGCAGGTTACTTCACTTTACCGAATTCTAGAGTAACCACGTTTGGACCTAATAAAGTTCCAAAATTATTCTTGGATTTCTGGTAACCGAACTCTCCACTTTTAACATGTATAATATTATAAGCAACTTTAATTTGTTTTTTGATTATTTTCTAAGACGATTATATTCTTAGGTCCATATGGAGAAGATGTATTTTTATAATTTACGTATATACTTAATTAAGTTTAATATTCAATGTTTCATATCCGGTGTAAACCATTTTAGGATAATTAGGACGATTTATGTGTCGACATAGGTACATTTACAAATCTAAATAAGAATAGATAATAGAGTAAAATGTTAAAGTATTATACAGGGTGCGCTCACAAAGTAGGGCGTCCATTTTTTTAAATAAAACGCCCTGTATTTGAATGCATTTTTGAATTCTACGTGTAATTCTACGTCTTTTTTATTATATGGTTAATATCCGAAAAGCTAGTAGTTTTAAAGAAAATTCGATTTGTAAGAAATTGGGCATTTGCAAGCGTCAGTATATTGTCAAAATTATTACTTACAATTTGATTCCAGGTTTTATATCTTTTATCCTGGGTTAAGTAAAGGTCAAATAAATACATCTACTATGAAACATTAAAAAAATAGCTTACAGGGTGTTTTTTTGGTAGATCCAAAGTTGCAAAACTTCATATTCAAAAATCTCACTTTTTTAAATGGAACACCCTGTATATTTTTCTGTCATCTTTCAGCTCCTCCAAAAACCTTCAACTTTTGATAATAATGTCCTATACCTATCTCTGATAGTTTTCGAAACATCTTGGTTTGCCTTTTTTTTGCATGGCCACCTCACTATTATGTAAATTACATACTTATTTAAGATTACAATATAAAAACCAGGAAAACCAAGATACTTCGAAAACTATCAGAGATAGGAATAGGACAATATTCTCAAAAGTTGAAGGTTTTTGGAGGAGCTGAAGGATGACAGAAAAATATACAGGGTGTTCCATTTAAAAAAGTGAGATTTTATAATATGAAGTTTTGTAACTTTGGATCTAGAAAAAACACCCTGTAAGCTATTTTTTTAATGTTTCATAGTAGATATATTTATTTGACTTTTACTTAACCCAGGATAAAAGATATAAAACCTGGAATCAAAATTTAAGTAATAATTTTGACAATATACTGACGCTTGCAAATGCCCAATTTTTCTTAAAAATCGAATTATCTTTAAAACTACTAGCTTTTCGGATATTAACCATATAATAAAAAATACGTACAATTACATGTAGAATTAAAAATTCATTCAAATACAGGGGATTCTATTTAAAAAAATGGGCGCCCTACTTTGTAGGCGTACCCTGTATAATTCCAAATATTTTTAAAATCTGGAGAATATTCAACCATATCATAATACAAAAGCACTCTATCGAAAAATCTTATCTTCAAGGCATCAAGTTACTCCGCGCAATCGTTGACTCACCCTGTACAAGTTTATGTAGGTCTTTTGTGACGTCGCGCAGCATGACAGCACACACCATGCTTGATTTCATGTTTTCTAAATATTGAATCACAAATTTGTCTATTGCTTCTATACTAACCATATGCATATTGTGGTGCAGCAAATTAATTGCCCTTTTCAAAGATTTACATTACATATTGAAAAAAAAGTTGCGTCCAGTTCCGCTGTACTAAATTTGATTCCAATCGGTTCAGCCCTTCGTCCGGACATAAGAGTACAGACTGACATAAGCGAGGTTTTATTTGATTCGAATTACTATAGTGCTTCAAAGCGTGTATTTACCTAAAAAAAAGTGCGGAGGGGGGGGGGGGGGGGGGGAGCACTTTTTTTAATTCCAATGCAATATCTCCCTTACTGCTCCCCTACTTGTAGAGGAATTGTTCTAGAGTGAAATTTTTTGCAATATCCTTGAATTTTGTTTGGGGGGGGGGGCCGCTATAAATTGGTTTGATCTTTTGGTATTCTAATTAAAATCGACGAAAGGAACTGTTTTCTACCAACTACCCCCTTGTCCTGTACTCATGATCAAAACGGGGGGGGGGGGGGGGAGAACTGGTTTTCCCCTTCATGGTACTCTAGTGAAAGGTCTCAACGAGAAGAATTAATTTCTACCAATCACAGTGGGTCTAGGACACTGACATGATTTTTTGATGGTCTATATCTCCGACTAGGGACGCTACGCCGACTGTACCCACATTGTCGATACGCGTAGAAGAGACGCAACCCGACCATTCCCATCACACTCCGCCCAATTTCATTACGAATTTTTGTATGACTCGATGTTATGGTCACGTTCGGCGTAGTGTCCCTAGTCTGCAACGTCGACCATAAAAACTCATACCGGCGTATCCCTCCTCGACCTCTTATCGTGATGGGTTATAATTCCTTATATCTCAAGAGCGAAGTATCGAAGGAGGGTACTTACAAAAGGCGATTGGAACTTCCGGAAGAAATACAGTCATTGGCGTTGTCAAAACTTGAACAGCGAATATCTCAAAAACGGTGTGTTGGAGGGGAGTAGTCATAAAGGGCTTGTGGAACGTCAGGACGAAACACCCCTACTGCTGATGAAAATTTAAGTGGCAATATCTCGCAAATTGGGTGTCGTAGGAAGGTATTTACAAAGGGAAAATGCTATTTAACGGAGAATTTCACTCAGGGCTTGATTTTTCTTGCATTATATAGCGTACGTACATTTTGAATGTGTTCTAGGCGGCCTTTACATGTGCCTTTCCCCTTCACCCTTTACTTAAGTAGTAGACGACTACTAAGAAGGTAAATATCGATAAATATAGCACGCAAATACAGACGAGTTCGGCATAAATCGTTCTTGTATGAGAGAAGGGAGCTGAATTTATGCCGAACTCTCCTTAACCTCGCTCGGCATTGACAAAAAAACAAAAAGAGAAAATTTGACCATTTAACACTGTGTCTACGAATGCTGATCCGGCTCGCTCGGCATAAATTGCTCTTCTTATATGAGAGGGACTAGTCGAATTTATGCCGAACTCGCCTTCGGCTCGCGTGGCTTTGATACGGACTTTCGTCAATTGACAAAAAAATTCAAGCAGAAAAAATTCTACCATTTAACATTGTGTCTAAGAATGCCGAGCCGGCTCGCTCGGCATAAATCGCTCTTCTTATATGAGAGGGACTAGTCGAACTTATGCCGAACTCGCCTTCGGCTCGCTCGGCATTGATACGGACTTTCGTGAATTGACAAAAAAATTCAAGCAGAAAAAAATTGACCATTTAATACTGTGTCTAAGAATGCCGAGCCGGCTCGCTCGACATAAATCGCTTTTCTTATATGAGAGAGCCTTCGGCTCGCTCAGCATTGGTACGGACTTTCGTCAATTGACAAAAAAATTCAAGCAGAAAAAATTTGACCATTTAGCACTGTGTCTAAGAATGCCGAGCCGGCTCGCTCGACATAAATCGCTCTTCTTATATGAGAGAGCCTTCGGCTCGCTCGGCATTGATACGGGCTTTCGTCAATTGACAAAAAAATTCAAGCAGGAAAAATTTGACCATTGAACACTGGGTCTACGAATGCCGAGGGCGAGTTTGGCATAAATTCGGCTGGCCCCTCTCATTTAGAAAGCACGATTTATGTCGGACATGCCTCCGGAAAATCACTCCTTTCATATAAGAGGGGCGAGCACAATTTATACCGATTATGGTGTAGACTTTCGTCCCAGGAAGTTTGGCCCATAACGGCATCAAAGTTTGTCGCTTGGGGTCCTCCCACGCAATCCCTCACTCCAGCTCTCTGTCCCTTGGGATTTAGATTATTTGCGCAGGTTGTCTCCTCTCTGTCTCTGCCCCCGCACCATCCTCAGCTCTTCAGCTTCGTACATGACTGTATATCAACATGCTTAACGCACATCGAACACATGTCGGCGCCGTTTAACACCGTACAAGCCTTTGGCCACGACACGACAGAAGGGTGAAGGGAGGGGGGGTTGGACTTGGTCCGCGATACTGTCTTTGGTTGCTACCGTCACTGTTTCATAAGCGCGAGCATCGCTCATTTGCGTAGGCCGTCCCTCTATCCGCCACTTAGATACGCGCCTGGTAGGGTGGCGCCCCTCAAGCTCAAATGCGTAACTCCTGTACACGTAAGAGATAAGTAGAGTTCATTAAACGAACTGGACAAAAGGGCCAATGACAACACTTCACCACTGTCGATCAATCAGCCGTCGGGAGGTAGCTGGCGCGTTTTTGAGCCCAAACGACATGCGCGTTACCTAAAACTCTTAAAGAGCGTAACGAAATAAGTCTTTTCGTCATCGGGCTCATTCCCATCTGCGATACCGAAACGGTGGTCTTCAAAAGGGTACGTTTTGGAGCATGGAAAAGATTAATGAGTGCAATCAGAAATCACAAAAATCTACAAAGGGGAGACCTTTAACTTTACTTTTACTGTCCCTGACTGGTGGATATGTTTTGTTTTTCTTTTTTACCCTATATTTATCTATCGATTGTATCGTGAATGTGATTGATTGGCTTTATAAGTGAAACCGGGACGCGCCTTCAATATTAAATGAGGTTAATAATACCTTCCATTTGTTTCTCGTGGTAATGGTAAAGTTTGAGTTGTCAATAAAACGATATCTATGATTAGGTAATGTTAGTTTTTCTTTGTCATTATGTTATTTACTCTCTTTATTTTGTATATAATATATACCTAATGTGGATCTAACTTGAGTAAAACCATCTTTCCCCCATAATTAAAAGTTTTGAGGTTTTAGCAGTGACTCAAACTGTCAAAAAAACTAATTCAGTAAGTGTACAGAAATCCTCAAACTTTATTCAGTCTCAGCGGTCAACACTGAATCAAAGGCTTGGTTTGGTCGGCTGAGTATCCCTTTTCCTTTCCCTGTTACCGACCTAGGCACCTAACAAAATCGCACGCCTGCGAAAGCTCACCATAATTTGATAATTTTCAGTTCACTGATATTTATTAATTTTTGTTTTGTATTCATGCAGCTACAACACCGGTTCTAGTCCCTCTGAGCAAAACCAACGCAGTACCAACTCAGTCGCCGTCTCCGCCAAAACCGTCAACATCTAAAAAAGTCGTGTTGAAGGACGTACCCCTGCAGGCGTACGAGCTGATCGCGTCACGAAAAACCAAGACAGCCACTCGAATTTTGCTGACCGAGCAAAAACTGATCCACCTGTACAAATGCCCCGAAATGTCCTGCCCTTTCTCCACCGATACGAAGCGGCTATTCGAGGTGCACCTGCAGCAACATCCCGAGTATAAGCCCGGCACGCAGATCTCCTGCCTGTACTGCAACTTCAAGGTCGACTATCGCATGTTCGCCGTTCACTGCGACGTTCGGCACGGCCGCTGCCAATTCTGCTGCAATTACTGCTTTTATCGCGCGATCAACCAAAGCTACGTGGAGATGCATCAGGAGCGCGAACATCCGAGGAATAAACGGCGCGTGCTAAGAGCGCCGATTAATTCGGACGCCTTGACGAGCCAGGCAAATATCACGCTTCCACCGATCAAGTCGATAGTTCCCCTGTATATTTGCGGCATGCCAGGTAATTGTTACATTGAGCGCGCCATTTTCTAATGCGTTTGCAGGTTGTCACGAGACCAAGTTCATCTTCTACAAAGATTTTTCCAATCACTGCATGAGCGTGCACGGTGCCAGCACGATCTCCTGTTACCATTGCATGTACATACCGACAAATGGAAACGACGCGGCCACACACATGCAAATGCACAACGTCTGCCACTACCACTGTCGCTACTGCCTGTACGGGGGGCACACACTCGAAGAAGTCCACAATCACTTATCCCTCCAACATTTCGCCTTTATTCCAAGAATTATCGAGCGCAGATTTATGCCCGACGCAACTAATGTAAGTATCTCGAAAGTCGTAACCGCACTCAAACTTACCCTCGTAGAAACCCTCATCCGACTACAAGTGGGACGACCCGAAGTCATACGACAGATTACACATTCTCACAACCGAACTAACCAAATACGTGACTCCGGTCGCGCTAATCGAAGTGATCTCTTACGCTCCTAAGCCGAAGACCATCATTAGCGTCGTCAAGACCGTGCCGTCGTCGGAGAAAAAGGAAACGATCACGATGTACAAGGCGCCGCTGGTGTCGCAGGCGAAAAAGTCGGCCGCCGTCGAAGACAAGGCGAAACCTTCGACGACAAAGGTCGGCGATAGTACGCCGATCGTGCTCAACAATTTCCTGCAGTCGCAAGTTGACCTGATGTCGATCACGAGGTGCGTCAGCAAGGCGAAAGGCGAGGATAAGTGCCCGCATGCGGCGAACGCTACAATACCGACGGATATACCGCCCTTGTCGGTCGCGCAGGTAGGTGGAAATTCTCGAAAGGTAAAAAAAAAAGTGTTTGAATTTTCCCTTATGCTAGCCGTTACGGCGGTTTTTAGAACTCGCTGTGGCGTTTCGACTCATATCTGGTGTTACACTCGTTTCTTATCTTAACGCGCTTTATTTTCTCGCATATAGTTCTGTTCTTTTTCATTATGAAGCTGTACACCTATACCGGCAAATTTGTTATTGCCTAAAGCAACCATCAGTTAGTTACATAACGGACAGATCCATCCCTAATAGGTAAGTACTTTTACCTGGGTAATCTCCGCCCAGAAGTGACCCCAGTTTATCCGAAATCCGTTATAATATGCCGTTTTCAAAATGTGTATATCGGACCTAACCTCATTCTTTTTAATGGCTCAGTGGCTCACAGCAGTGCTATATTTGATATGCTATCTTTTTGGAGTAAAATATACAAGGTGTTTGATTTAAAAAAATGAGGTTAGGTCCGATAAATCTTACTTGACCGCGTGTGCTTATCTTAAACACGACAAATTAATCAGCAATAGCCTAGACGATATTCAAAAAAGATTAAAAAAGAATAAATAAAATCAAAAAAAGGTGCAAATATTTAAAAAAAGTAAATCTTGAACCAATATTGAATTTGTTAGTGTTATATTTTTGAAAAGAGAATTTAATATGGTATTTTTTTAGAATAAAATGTACAAGGTGTCAAATTTAAAAAAAAATGCGGTTAGGTCCGATAAGTCTTACTTGGCTGTACTTATTTTCAACATGACAGATTTATCAACAATAGTCTAGACGATATTTAAAAAAACATTGAAATGGTTAAGAAAATACAAAAAAGATAAAAAAAGAATTTTGAAAAATCAAAAAAAGGAAAAATTGAATCTTGAACCAATATTGAATTTGAGGAGAGAAAGTCTTTTACTTGGTTACGTATACGAATGACGAATTGAATACGACAGATTAATGAAGAATAGTCTAGACGATATTCAAAAAAGATTCAAATGGTTCAAAAAAGATTAAAAAAGAATAAATAAAATCAAAAAAGGCTCAAATGTTAAAAAAATTAAATCTTGAACCAATATTGAATTTGTTGGTGTTATATTTTTGAAAAAAGAATTTAATATGGTATTTTTTTAGAATAAAATGTACAAGGTGTCCAATTTAAAAAAAATGAGGTTATGTCCGATAAGTCTTACTTGACCACATGTACTTATTTTCAACATGACCGATTTATCAACAATAGTCTAGACGATATTTAAAAAAACATTTTTTTGTTATAGTTAATTATTGTTTTCTTCTTTGTTACACAATTTTAAATATTTCGTTTAAATAAAATTTTCGAAAAAAAAAATTGAATCTTGAACCAATATTGAATTTGAGGAGAGAAAGTCTTTTACTTGGTTACGTATACGAATGACGAATTGAATACGACAGATTAATGAAGAATAGTCTAGACGATATTCAAAAAAGATTCAAATGGTTCAAAAAATTCAAAAAAGATTAAAAAAGAATTAAAAAAAAAGGTGTTTAAAAAATTAGGTCCGATAAATCTTACTTGACCGCGTGTGCTTATCTTAAACACGACAAATTAATCAGCAATAGCCTAGACGATATTCAAAAAAGATTCAAATGTTTCAAAAAAGATTAAAAAAGAATAAATAAAATAAAAAAAGGGTCAAATGTTTAAAAAAAATTAAGTCTTGAACCAAAATTGAATTTGTTACTGTTATATTTTTGAAAAGAAAATTTAATATGGTATTTTTTTAGAATAAAATGTACAAGGTGTTCAATTTAAAAAATGAGGTGAGGTCAGATAAGTCTTACCTGACCGCGTGTGCTTATCTTAAACACGACAGATTAATCAGCAATAGCCTAGAGTCCTAGACGATATTCAAAAAATATTAAAAAAATTACAAACAATTGACAATTTTTTAATACTAAATCTTTTTTGAATCTTCTTGAAACAATATTGACCTGTGTAGTTATATTTTTGAAAAGAGAATTTAATATGCTATCTTTTCAGAATAAAATATACAAGGTGTTCGATTTAAAAAATGCGGTTAGGTCCGATAAATCTTACTTGACCACATATACTTATTTTCAACACAACAGATTTTTCAACAGTACTTTAGACGATATTAAAAAAACATTCAAATGGTTCAAAGAAGATTAAAAAAGAATAAATAAAATCAAAAATATCGTCTAGATCTCTAGATATTCATAAAAGATTCAAATATAAAAGTAATAAATCTCGTAATAAATATAAAATAAAAAGATTAAGAATTTTAAAAAATCAAAAAAAGGTTCAAATTATAATTGAATTTTAAACCAATATTGAATTTTTTAGTGTTATATTTTTGAAAAGAGACTTTAGTAATCTTTTTAGAATAAAATATACAAGGTGTTCGATTAAAAAAAAATGAGGTTAGGCCCGATAAATCTTACTTGACCACATATGCTTATTTTCAACACGACAGATTTTTCAACAATACTCCAGACGATATTCAAAAAACATTCAAATGGTTCAAAAAAGATTAAAAGAGAATAAATAAAATCAAAAAAAGGCTCAAATGTTTAAAAAAATTAAATATTGAACCAATATTGAATTTGTTAGTGTTATATTTTTGAAAAGAGAATTTAAAATGGTATTTTTTTAGAATAAAATGTACAAGGTGTTCAATTTAAAAAAATGAGTTTAGGTCAGATAAGTCTTACCTGACCTCGTGTGCTTATCTTAAACACGACCGATTACTCAGCAATAGCCTAGACGATATTCAAAAAATATTTAAAAAAATTACAAAAAATTGACAATTTTTAAATACTAAATCTTTTTTGAATCTTCTTGAAACAATATTGACCTGTGTAGTGATATTTTTGAAAAAAGAATGTAATATGCTATCTTTTTAGAATAAAATATACAAGGTGTTTGATTAAAAAAAATGAGGTTAGGTTCGATAAATCTTACTTGACCACATATACTTATTTTCAACACGACAGATTTTTCAACAATACTCTAGAAGATATTCAAAAAAAACATTCAAATGGTTCAAAGCAGATTAAAAAAGAATAAATAAAATCAAAAAAGACTCAAATGTTTAAAAAAATTAAATCTTGAACCAATATTGAATTTGTTAGTGTTATATTTTTGAAAAGAGAATTTAATATGCTATCTTTTTAGAATAAAATATACAAGGTGTTCGATTTAAAAAATGCGGTTAGGTCCGATAAGTCGTACTTGATCACATGTAGGTACTTTATATTCAACACAACAGATTTATCAACAATAGTCTAGCTAGACGGTATTAAGAAATATTCAAATGGTTAAAAAAAATACAAAGAAGATAGAAAAGAAATTTTAAAAAATCAAAAAAAGGTTCATATGTTTAAAAAAATTGAATCTTGAACCAATATTGAATTTTTTAAGAGAGAAAGTCTTTCACTTGGTTACGTATACTTATTTTGAATACGACAGATCAATGAAGAATAGTCTAGGCGATATTCAAAAAAGATTCAAATGGTTCAAAAAATTCAAAAAAGATTAAAAAAGAATTTTAAAAAAAGGTATGTTTAAAAAATTACAAGAAATTTCCAATTTTTTAATCAATCTTTTTTTAATCTTTTTGAACCAATATTGAATGTTATTAGTGTTATATTTTTGAAACGAGAATTATGCAAAAAATGCATAGAATAAAATATACAAGGTGTTCGATTAAAAAAAATAAGGTTAGGTCCGATTACTTTTATACTGACGACGTATACTTATTTTGATTTTCAACAACTATAAAGAACGTTGGTAATTGACAATTTTTTGAATGTTCCTCGTATGGCTTAAGCGAGCGAAAATGTTCAAATTTTGAATTTGCTGTTTTAAGTTTAACCCTAAAAGATCGCGTGACGCCTATTACTTTTTAGATAGCACTAAGGCTGCACGAAATTACGCTTTAAATTACTCAATTAAAAAAAACACATTTTAAGACATTTCCGTTCAAATGCGCTTTAAAATGATCGCCATTCCGCATAGCGTATGGTGAGAGATGTGGTGAATTTAGTCCCCTACAAAACATACAATCATACCGAGCGACACACGCACAATTAATTGACAATGACAAAATCTTATTCTGAAATACATGAAAATTAAACAAAATTCCTGAAGAAGAAGCTGTTTGGACAAATTACCCCGCACGCAGCCGTTCGACAAATAAAATCTTAAAATTACTTACATGTGTTTTTCTTTTAATAATCCTAGTAATCGATCCGCGGTTTGCGGTAAACAAGGCGCACTTAACTTCACACACAAACGCTGACAGCTTATGAACTTCACTTTTTTTAGAACACAAATCTTTGATAACAAACAACATTAACTAGATGAATGAAATGGCGATTTGCCGGTGGCTATTCAGACGATACAAACTTTTAACTTTGATAATAAGAGAACCTTAACAGAAGGTCTCACGGTGCACCAGAACTGCTTCCTATCATGAAAATGACGAACTGTATCTTCAATAAATGAAATAGCGCGAATCCAAGAAAACCGGCTTCAATTTGGCGAAAGTAATACTCAAGCATAATAATAATAATATTTGAATATTTGAATCTTACCCCCTAGAAAAACTGAAACGGGCCCTATTTTCTGAACGCAACGACCTGAACTCGCCGCTCGCGGTTGCCAATACATTTCTTGTATCGCTTGTTATCGCCAGACTTACTTTTGGTCACATTCGCTACGAAGCGGTATATGTGTAAATTTTCCTATGTTGAATAAAACTTTTGAAACCGCAAGCGACCACGTGTTACAACTTGATTTCTTTTCTTGCAGCCCGAGGCGATCCGCGTAGACGAACGATCGTTCGACGACACACGACAGGAAACAAGTGACGGACCCTTGGAGCAAGATCCATTGCAAGTGCGTTCAGAACCCGGCACATCTACACCGAAGTCCACCGATAGCGTTTCCTTACCTTCCCAATCACCGCAGGACTTTTCGTCCTTTTCTACCCTTACGGAAGACGAGTTGTCCGATTTCACGGTAACATCCGAGGGGAAGAGCGCTAAAATTCGCGACTTAACAGGGAAGGACCTATTTCAGTGTAGTATCTGTCGTGAGTCTTTCGATAGGGCGTCGCAATTCAAAGGGCACATGTTAAAGTGTGTCGAAACTCATAGATTGGGGGTTACCAAACCTTACGAGTGCTGCCATTGCTTGAAAATGTTCAAGACCCTCCACAGTTTGATGGAGCATCTTCGTTCGCACGGTACGAAGAGGTTCACGTGTTCGCTGTGCGATTTCAAGCACTCGCATCAGTTTCACGTTCGTGCCCACATGAAGGTAAGGCATAACGTTAATAACGCGACAATGGTGCCGGTTAACGCCCAAGAGACCAACATTGACGAGGACGAATTCGTCCTAAAACCGAAAATCAACAGGCAAAAGAGTTTCGAGTCTGCCATTCCCAAAGATTCTCAGAGCGCGACTATCGACGTCGTTTTGAAGTTCGGTCCCGAGGACGTCGACGCCCTACCGTTGCGCGAAATTTACAGTAAGGAGGTAAAATGCTCGGTTTGCGGATACGCGACGAAGGTTAGTTGTGCGTAAAGTCACTAGATATAGAAAGTACCGCAATCATCCGCCATTTTTGGGCAAATTTGCTGCCAACTTAAAAAAATTGACAAATAAAATCTGAATAGCTGTCATTTTTCATAACCTAACTTCATAGTACTGTCATGTTTTATAAAAATATATACAGATATCTCCAAACAGGTGGAACAATCCCTAACATTAAAGTTACTAGAATCTGGTAACTTCCGCCATTTTTGGTCAAAAATCATGCGTTCTCTCTAACACACGAGCCCAATGGATTGCGGTACTTTCTATATTTAGTGACTTTAGTTGTGCGGTTCCCCGTCAATTGACTATACGCGCTCCTTTTTTTTTAGGTTCGCACGAATCTCATTCGTCACTTTCAATTTCACAAGATCGGAAAGGAAGTTCCCATACCGGCGATCGCGCCTGTCAATCCGGTGCCATGTTTGGATAAGAACGAGAAGATGTTCGACAAGATGTTCAATTTGTCGATCAGTAGTTACAACGACGCGCTTCGTAACCCGCTCAAGACTGATAAGAAGGAATTACCAAAGATCACGAAGGAGGAGGAAATTGAGCTACCCACCTACGTGCCCGTCACGAAACGATACGTTTGTGGCGCCGATAATTGTGATTATTTGTGCTTGGAGGAGTCGATGTTAAGGTAAGCTCGTAGTTTGGAATCGAACCCTGCATTACCTACACTAGAATCAGGTGGGTGGTGACCAAATTTGATAGAACATAATTGCTACCATTGATGGTAGGTACCATGAAGAGGGTCCACAAATAAAAATGCTAACGTTTTTTGACGTGGGATTTTTAAGAATGATCAACCGTAAAAATTTGAAACAAATCACTCTCCAAATAATGAAATTGTGTTCTGGGCATTCGACACATTTGATATACAGGGTGATCTGGAACATATTTTTTCAAAAGAAGCTTTGGCAGTTGGTCCAAGGTGTCATATTTCGGCAGCTGGTCTGGGGCGCGAGATCATATTTCGGCAGTAGTTATCGTATTTCATTGGTTGGGGTGTCAAATTACATATACAAGGTGAATGGCCCCAATTGTTGTGGTGTCAAATTAAATTCTTATATTTATTAAATGGCCCCATTTTTTGCGGTGTGAAATTACTTGTTAGATGTCATCCAAGGTCAATGACTTCAATAGTGGATTTCAAGGACATCCCAGGTCAACGGCGCGTTTTTATGTCAAATTACATTTTCCAAGTCGCCCAACGACAATGAACCATTTTTTTGTGGTGTCAAATCACATTTTCAAGGTCATAGAAGGGCAATCTGGCATCTAATTACATTCACGAGGTCATCCAAGGTCAATAAACCCATTTTATATGGTGTCTAATTATAGTCTCAAGGGAAATGAACTCATTTTTTGCGCTGCCACATTTCAAGAGCATACAAGGCCAATGCGGTCTGCGGTGTCAAATTACATTTTCAATGTCATAGAAGGTTTTTATGTGGTGTTTAATTACACTATCAAGGTCATCCAATTTCATTTTCAAGGTCAATGGTCCCTTTTTTGTGGTGTCAATTCATTTTCAATTGTGTTCTCAATTACCTCCAATTTTTGCCGCGTTAGATTCTATTTTTAAGGTCATCAGAGGTCAATGAACCTATTTTGGTGGTGTCAAATTTTACTTTCAAGGTATTCCACATTTTACCCCCGAGGATATTAGGTCCATTTGAAATGCTATCTATTTTGATTTTCAAGGTTATCAAATGACCTTATTTTGTCGCATCTTGATTCATGTTCAAGGCCAATGGTGTCATTTATGTGGTGTCATTTCATTATCAAGGACCCAATTTTTGTTGCGGTGTCGATTTTACTTTCAAGGTCTTCCAAGGTTAATGACACAATTTTTAGCCTGTGTTAATCTTCAACGTTGTATTTAAGAAACCGCAGAGCAATTTGTACAATCTATTATGATTTAAATCGAAAAATCCATCTTTAGCAAAAGAAAAGCGCCGACTGACCGAATTATAAATGTATACAGACGGGGTTTATATACTAATAATATGCCCTTGAACTACCTGTAGTTTATTTAAAGAACAAATGGGGTCATTGACCTTAGATAACCTGTAATTTGACACCACAAAAAGGGGTTCATTGTTCTTGGATGCTCTTGTAAATGTAATTTGACACCCCAAAAAATGAACCTCCACGTGGTGAGCCACCTTTAACTGGTCCAAGCTAGGCCTGTATATGACTACTGGCAACATTTGGACTTTGAACAGTGTGGAATGGACTTGGACGAATAGCTTGACCTACTTTCCATGACCTGCGATAATAACCGTATGTAACAGACAAAAATGGGATTTATCGTCATTGATGGACCTTGAAGTGTTCACCATCTTACAACGCACAATCTTAACCAGTCGTGGCGAGTGTACAGGGTGGCCAACTAAGAATGCGAGGTACTGTATCTGAGAATCTATCCATCGTAGAGGCTTGCGGTAAAAAATTTATTACTAAAACGGCCACGAGCAAAACCTGGAAAATATTTTTAAGTTTCTGAAATGACCGCTAGGAGGCGTAACTGCAATCTGGAATCTAAAAAAGTGATGTTTCTGCGAATTCCGCTATATTAACCTAACAAAAAAATGTCCGGTCCGTAAAGAACACCCTGTATCTTCGAAACGGCCGAGCTGATTTAAACAAACCACCACTAAAACATCGGTTCATTGTGCTTGGATATCCTTGTAAATGTCATTTGACACCCCAAAAAATGAAATACGATAACTACAGCTTGCCCTTTGAGCTTTACCTCAACCTACTTTCCAAGGTCACCGCCACGTGGTGAGCGACCTTTAACTAGTCTTAGCTAGGCCTGTATATGCCTACTGGCAACCTTTGGACTTGGAACAGCGGGGAATGGACTTTGACCGGCCGGCAACCTTTGGACTTTGAACAGTGTGGAATGAACTTTGATGGATAGCTTGATCCGCTTTCGCTGACCAGCGATAATAACGGTATAATACAGACAAAAAGTGGGATTTATCGGCATTGATCGACCTTGAAGTGTGGACCATCTTACAACGCACAACCTTAATCAGTCAATCTTCTCCCAGTCGTGGCGAGTGTACACGCCAAGTAAATTTACTCTATGTAGAGTACATTAAACTTAAAGCCTTATCCAAGTGCAATTTCGCATGGTTGCAAGTTCAAAGTACACTGTCTTGCTTATTGACTTCAATCTCTAACTATAAAATTGTTAAAGCCATGGAGGTGAAATGGCTACGCGTTAGCCTTGTATTTCAGGTATCGTGGGTTCGAATCCACCAATCACCGATGACGTCAAAATGTCGGCTCCCCCGGGCCAACCTCTGAAGTACTCCGGGCCAACTACCACAATATCATCTAGCGCCCCGGGCTAATTGCCAAAATTTGACCTTGCACCCCTGCCCAATTGCCAAAATTTGACTGGGGTCAACTGCCGATAAGTAACACCGGTTCTAGGCCACTGACCTAGAGACGTGCGCATGCGCCAAGTTCCAGGTCATTGACCTCTTTGAATGCGCATCCAGATCCCTAACCTGAACAATGGAAACAGGTTTATTAAACGGGCTTATTTCTAATCAATAGACTTCTTTCTGATAAACTGACCTATTGTTGATGAACAGAACTGTTTCAGATGAACAGATCCGTTTCTGATGGATAGACCTATTTATTTAACCATTGACCTGTTTCCATTGAATTCGTGTTCAGGTTAGGGTTCCGACTCCTCATTCAAAGAGGTCGGTGACACATAAACGGTCTTTTTTTTCTTTTTCATGGGGCGAATGACCTTGACTTGCCGCATGCGCAGTTTTCCAGGTCAAAGTAGGCTAAAACCTCGTACCCCGGATCAACTTGCTAAACATGGTACCCCGGGCCAACTACCAAAATTTGACCTTGCACTACCGAAATATGAGGGGGGGGGGTAAAATCAAGCAATACTTCTCTATCTTTGTTCGTTTTTTTTCGGTGCTGCGAATTTTTCAAGTCGGCGAAATTTTATGTGTATTCAATATATTTTGTGGCAATGAATTTGATATTTATATTGTCTGCACTTTATCACTAAGTCTGACTAATAGCTGGAATCGAGTGTCACCATATTAATATTACCATATCATTTTATAGATCGCATCTGCAGGCTTTACATAGCGACGAAACATCTTACAAATGTATTCATTGCAACGAAGTTTTGCACAAAGCAAAAGGTGTGATTAACATCGACCAAATTTTGAAGCATTTCCGTCTGCACGACTTAAACCTGTACAAGTGCAGCTACTGCAAATTTTTGCACAACTTGAAGCACAAAGTCGACCGACACGTTTTAGATAAGCACCCAAACAATACACCCTTGGTAATAATCATACGCGAGATGGACCACGAACCCGAAGAGGCCACGCACCACCACCACCACGTCCAGGAGGACGTCAAGGAGGCGAAACCGTGGCGATGCGGCATGTGCAAGTATCGCTGCAGCACGAAAACCGAAATCGTCACTCACGCCCACAACAAACACGAACTGGACACCCAATTCAAATGTGCCTTATGTCAGTATAGGACCAGTACGAAGTCGAATTTCGCCGACCACTTCCAAACGGAGCATCCGGGTCGAAACGTGGACGTCATCGACGCCTATTACGAGGAGGAGGCGATTCCCGCCTTGAAAAACATCGCCGAGCTGAGCATGTTCGACACGACGCCGATATGGCAGCGCGAGAAGACCAAGTTGAAGTACATTCGCGGCATTCCCATCGTGGAGGAGACTAGCAAGCCGTCGAAAAAGTCGCCGCTTAAATTCGATGACAAGGCCGAAATTAAGAAGATCGCGACCACGCCGTCGAAAAAACCGAAAACTCTCAAGGAGAAGAAATTGGAGCTGATTATTAAGGTGGGCGACGTTGAAGTAATCGAAATCGAAGACGACGACGTCCTAGTGATTGACGAAAAGCCGAAGGTCTCCGAAAAGCAGCCGGTCCTCTCCGAGTCCGCTTCCCAATCGGATCAGGACAAGGTGGGCAGTTCCGGATACACGCTTGAGGATCTCATGAGCATGGACATAACGACTTTGAAAAATGCGAACTTGTCGTGCGCCTCTTACGGACCGTTTGGCGTGCCCCGCAATCGACAGTACTTGTGCCCAATTTGTAACTCATTCAAAACCAAAAAAGAAGAAGACATCAAGAACCATCTTTATAAGCATCACGACTATCACAAGTAAGCTCTCAGTGTGACGCGCATGCGCACTCAACGTCAAATTTCAGGTTCGTCTGTACAATTTGTAAACTCACCGGCATCAGTTACAAGTTCCTTAAGAGACACTCGGGACGCAAACATCAGGGACTGCCCGAGGCGATCTACCCTATGACTCCCGCCCCGCTAATCGAGGACTGGGTACGTAAGGTGCTCGCCGTCCAATCTCGCATAATGGAGGAGAACGAGAGCATGGCGACCGTCTCGAGTACGACCGTTCACGACGTGATTAAAACCGAGGACTCGCCGAAGAGGCAGGTCACGACGGAAATAAACGCCGCCGATTCGTCGAGTACGTTGGGTAGATCGAAAGTGATCCAGCAGTGTCAGCATTGTTCGTATAGCTGCAGGGCGGCGAGCGATATGCGCAAGCACGAGCGACGCCATTGGCTGCAGAAACCGTTGAGGTGCGGACATTGCGACTTTGAAGGTAAGTTTTTTCGAAATTTTTTATTTCTCCTTCATTCCTGAGAAAAACAGCTCGTCCGTGATAACTCTTAGAAAGTCTAACCTCGTCTGCTGATAACCCCTCGTACACTACTTAACCAACGTTTCATCTCGATAATGTACCCGTTGTTATCGCTCTTATTTCCTGACCTACTTTCGTTCATGTCTGCTATGCAGCGGTGTATGTGTAAATTTTCCCCAAGTTGTACAAAATACAAATTCGACCAGTCGTTTACCAATCACATCCCTAGAAACTAGTTTGACTATTCTCAAAACTCCAGACCCTTAGAAGAAACCGCCCCTAAAACCACCAACTACCAAATCTAATTAAAATCACGCCTTCCACCAATGTAATTTTTGTATACTGGATGCGCATTGCTATAATTTGATAGAGAAAGCATACAGGGTGATCGTATTATAGGTTTGATAATTTCAAAAATTTTAGTCAGTTTAGATTTGGGCTTTGAATATAAAATTAGGAAGACGTCTAAGCATGTACTTTCGCGTGGGTCTCTAAAAGTACCTTGAGCGATAGATGGAGCCACGAAACGAATGTGAAAAGTACCTTTGGATTTATATGCGCGCTTTCCGAAGGCAGTCACTACTCTTCCTTCTTACGGAGCGTTTTCTCTGTAGGACAAAGACAGGCTGAACTATCCCACTTGCACTCATTGATTTGTTACCGTACTCTTATGTTGATAATAGGCGCGCGTACATAATTGAAAACGCTGCAAATACCAATTTAGACACAGAAAATTTCATAGAACAAAAATTGTAGACAATTAATTTACTATAAAAAAAAGTCCGCGACGGTATATATCTATCTTTAATCGTTTAGCCATACCAACCATTTAAAGTTGTACCTAGTGTCCTCGTTGGTATCAATAATATCTTTGAACGCTTATCATATAACAATCATTTTTATAAGTGTCCTGTGCGTAAACCCCCTAGTTTTTAGGTTATTTAATATTTTTCACAAAACACTAATGAATTACATGTTTATAAACAGGATCGAGTAAGCCGTGATAATAGAAAACAAAAGAACTCCAGTAAGTAAGCGTGTCACAAGTAAATTATCTGCTGCAATTAACGTGCTCCCTTATTTCGTATTAAAATAAGATTAATTAAAAACAAGTTAAAAAGTAATCGTAAACGATTTACATAAAGCGCATTTCCACTTGCATTCATTTCCCATTTGTAATATGCAACTTTTATAAAATCGTAAAAATCCGGCCACAAATATGAAAGATAGCGTTGCACATGGGCAATCCATTTTTGTTGTGCTACTTCAATGTCAGTTTATGAGAAGAATTTCATTTCAATGCTTTTCTAAATAAGAAAGTTGGAACTGCGCATGCGCAAACCTAAATTTTAAAACTAATGTTAGATTTTCCTTTGTTCCAAGCGCCTAAGTATCAAATTTCACTTAAATGGTTCCATAGATAAAAAAGTTGGCACTGCGCATGCGCAAAATAAAATTTTGAAACTGGCCCTAGATTTTCCTTTATTCCAAGTGCCTATGTATCAAATTTCATTCAAATGCTTTTATAAGTAAAAAATGTTGCAATTCGGTTTATAAATGGTCGAGATGCGAAAAGGGCACTGTGAATTTTGAATCGATTCGATTCAACTTTTGGCGTTGCGTATTATATGGCTAAAGCTATGCCCATATTGAATTTCATGCAATTCAGTTCATAACTAACGGAGATGTAAAAACGATCGAACATTTCTAAACAAAGTTATCGTTCACACGGACAGATAGATGGACAGACAGACAAAGGAACAGACGGACAGACCAGCATGCAGACGACAGATAGCAATGCAAAATTATAAACGATCTCTAGGATCGTTAATAAACGGCAAAAGTGTAAAATTATGGAACATGTAAAAAAACGGTTTTTTGTTTTTTTTTACAATAACTTTTTTTGTAAGCGGTACAGAAAAAATTCCTTCCTTTGTACAAGACTCGAAACCATAACGAACCAAATAGCGAAAAAAGTAGAACAATAGCTCTTAAGATAAAGAACTAGTAGCGTCGCAAAACGAGCGGACGGACGGACGGACGGACAAAGTGGCCACAATAGCGCATTTTTTTTTTATTTTTGTGGAAATGCGCTAAAGAGAATTTCGAACTAGTCTTTTTAAAAAATCTTATTTTACTAGGAAATAATGAGTACCTACACTTGCAGCAAACAATTATTTATGGCCCTTGTTTACTATTTGGCATTCTTTGGTTTTTTATTATCATGGTTTACTCCTGTTTATAAACATTGAATTCGTTAGTGCGTAACTGTTTAGTGAAAAATATTGAATAACCTAAAAACTACTGGGTTTAGGCACATGATATTCCTTCTAAGAATTGAAGAGCGCCAAACAGACCATCGAATAGAGAAACAAAATAGTGGCAGTTCCATTTGAATAAAAATAGTTATAGCACTTTTTGAAATCTAGAAATTTTACAATTTTTTTTGTAAACACCCTGTATTAATAAATTCACCTTTCTCATTACCAAAGTGTTCCCTTTTATTCAGATTAAAATTATTGATCAAATGTATTTCTTAACTTTAAAATCAAAGTCGCTACGATTTATCAAAGTGGGGCTGGTTAGAGAATTATTTGAAACAAATTAATAATTTGTCTTGCAGAGGTAAAAAAATGACATCGAATTAGCTAAAAATAGACAGGCTGTTCCATTTAAAAAAATCAACTGTGTATTGACACCGTAAAGATGAGACACTCTGTACATTCAAAAATAATTTCTGTAGATGCACAACCTTCTATAGTTGACATTTGCACAAAAGATTTTTTGCTATTTTTTTTACCAAATATGAACTAGGAAAGACCGACGCAGTGTTATAGGGCCCTGTATAATTGTTATAAAACGTAAAAAACGAAGAAAGAATGGGAAAATTTCGTCTTTTTTGCATTTAACTTCAAATGAATTTGTTTAGAATTGAATTTTCTATAAGATACAATTGGTAACGTACATTTTCAAAAGCTTTTTTTTTTTTATGGAAATATACAGGGTGTTCCTAAAAGGTCTGTACAACGCGCTACCAGGGGTTCTTGGTATCAAAATAGGACGATTTAACCCAACTTACCTCTATCCAAAAGTGCTTCGGTAAGGCGCTATCTACCGCCAAAGATTAAAAAAAAATCGTTATTTTTATTTTATCGGAAAATGGTTTTGCCGATTAAAATGAAATTCGGGATGTGAATGTCTAATGTAAAAAGGGTCTTTTGTGATATCATCGTTTTGATTGTAGTTGCTATGTAGGTGGTAAAATACTGACCATCCACATCTGAAGAGGTCTAAAACTTTTTAACTACTATTTTGACGGTTCTGAATTTTTAGACACTGATAGACAGTTTACTTGTAAGCATTTTTTGTCTCTTGATGAATATCGCTATCTGTGATGGTTTACGGAAAAAAAAAATTTAGGCATGATGAATGGCATGCACCATACATGCGATTGTTCCTCAAAAACCATAAGTGCAAGCAAGAAGACGTCTTTCAACAGCCGCAAACGTTTGATGGTTTGGTACACGACGATTTGGAAACCTGTAAGTATACTCTCTGACGCATTGGCGACCATTTCCACGACAGTATCCAAACACTAATAGCATATCAGTTAACTCTGCGTTACTGTATTGAAAGGCCATATTACAATTTTAACAATGAAATTTTAAGTCTTCAAGCAAAACGTAAATTGTTAAAGTTTAAGAAACAACAAACAAACGTTACGCCACTCAAAAGGTTTCACAGCCATCTTCTGATTTTTTGAGGAACAATCGCATGTAAGGTGCATGCCATTCATCGTGCCCAAATTTTTTTTTTTTCGTAAACCATCACAGATAGCGATATTCATCAAGAGACAAAAAATGCTTGCAAGTAAACTGTCTATCAGTGTCTAAAAATTCAGAACTGTCAAAATAGTATGTTTTAGACCTCTTCAGATGTGGTGGTCAATATTTTACCACCTACATAGCAACTACAATCAAAACGATGATATCACAAAGACCCTTTTTACATTAGACATTCACATCCCGAATTTCATTTTAATCGGCAAAACCATTTTCCGATAAAATAACAATAACGATTTTTTTTTTAAATCTTTGGCGGTAGATAGCGCCTTACCGAAGCATTTTTGGACAGAGGTAAGTTGGGTTAAATCGTCCTATTTTGATACCAAGAACTCCTGGTAGCGCGTTGTACAGACCTTTTAGGAACACCCTGTATAAAAAAAGTAATCCCCAAAATTAACAATCTGTTACTAAGCAAAATTCATGCTCTCTTTTATATTATCCGTAGCTTGATAACAGAACAATACGGCAAACGATCATCCGATCACCGTAGATATTATAGTCATTGATTAATTAAAAACACAAATTAAAAAAACCATGCTTTGTCTTCCAAAGTGGGGACTCCCAGATTCTCCCCCAATACTTTCCGCTAGTGGAACCCTAAGCAAACCGTTTCCAACAATTGTCCCGATGATTCTTGCAAATCGACGGACTTGCAAATTTTTTTTCAAAATCCGAAGAATTTTAATGGAATAATTTCCCAAATATAACAAGAAATGTAACGCCATAATAGGCGAACAGAAACCTCTCGGAAAATATACATTAAAACAAAATACGTCGAAATCCGTCCGTCAATTTGCAAAAATCATCGAGACAACTTTTGGAAAAGGTTGCTTTGGAGTTCCACCATCTGTACAAAAATTTAGAACTCTATGGGAGTTACCCAATTTGTTTGTTTATTTAATCAATGGCTATGATACCTACGGTAATCGGGTTTGTCGTATTGTTTTGTTGTCAAAACAAGGGACCAAATACGGATTTTCAAAAAGATCGGATGAATTTTACTCAGTAATAACAGATTGTTAATTTTCGGAAATGCGTTTTTTATATTTCTCCATTAAAAACAATAACAATTAAGAATGAACGTTCCATACTAAATGTATGGTCTACATAGACAATTCGATTCTAAACAAATTCACTTGAATACCTCACCGGAAAAA